TTATTATGGGGTCTAGTTGCTTCATTTCCCGCTCTCTTTTCGTTGAGCTCTTGCTCGTCCGTATGTATCCATATCTACCCACACCTACCTACAGTAGCTATCCCATTCTACTCGTCGCATCGTATACCGATCTTGTAATGTCCGACAACATTGCACCTTAGCACGCGAGGGAATTGGTCCGACACATCCATATCTATAAGGGCCACATCCATATCTATAAGGGCCGACTGACGGGCTTGTTTTATACTAAGGATAGGAGCTGTGCACATGGATCCGGTTGTATACTCGTCATCGTCATCGAGACACACGCAACCTGACCTAACGATGCGCAGAGGTATTGCCTATTGAACCAGAGGATGGCGGGCTTGCTAATTCAGGAATGGCTTCTGCCAACCTTCCGCCATCTAAGCAGGACCGACATATGCCTAGAAGGATATTCTTTTCAGTACAGTATTTCCCAAGCCATTATGAGTACTCACGGCCTCCCATCAGCAGAGGAATGTCTGTTTTGTAACAGGCTCGACAAGAGAAAGGAGGCGGAGCAACTGATGAAGATATAGTTCTATCCTTTTGACGTTTAGGCGTCACAGACTTCTTATTCTGTGGTGTGGTTGGTGCTAAGACGAAGGACCGCTAGTCAATGCGAGGGCATACTCTGCGGAACGAAGGGAAGACGCACAAGGCATAGTCGTGGGGGCAACGGGAGTTGATACAGCTACAGGAGTCGGTACAGCCGCGGGACTCTGCATAGGTGCAGGAGCTCCAGTTGAACCTGAGGGAGCTACGGTCGCAGGAGTAACTATGGGCGCGAAAGAGACTCCGGTGTATGGTTGACTACTTAGTGCGGATGAGGTGGCTGGTAGAGGCTGAGAAGCCAGAGGGGATGGGTGATATTGTACCGGAGCGTTCGCATAATGCTGTAGTCCAGACGCTGCATAAGGTGTAGGCGAAGCTTGAAATTCAGTCTGTGGGGATGCCCCAGTAGTGGGTGGAGCCCATGTAACAGGGGGAGCAAAATAGGTTTGTGGGGCCGCGGGAGGGAACGGCGTTGTCGAGGTTGTCGCATAGGCGTTGGTAACAGAAGCAGGATAAGAAACAGCGGACACTGCTGATGTTGGTGGTGCCGCGGGCTTGGCAAGTGATGGCACGGAAACAACATTTCGCCCTGCAGGCTGTTTGCGCGTTGCAGCTTTCCGTCGTGTCCTGTTGCTGTCAGCATTGGCCGGCTTGATAGACTTCATGGGATAAGGAGAAGATGCCTGAGGATGAGAAGTCAATATATGAGACCGGCTTATCAATACACGGATAGGCGAAAACTCGCCTGTCGCAGCTGTTCTATCAAGTCTTCGTCGCGGAGTCTGTGGGCTAGATATGTCCTCTGGGAGGTATTCTAACGTGTCATGCCTCGTCAAGGTTTCGAATATATGCTGTAGAAAAGTGCTTACCGAGGAGTCTTTTAGTTTATTCGCACTTGACGCGTCAAGAGCAGCCTCGGTACGCGACCAGGCAAGCAATGCATCATATCCGCTCTTCTGAAGTCCTTTCCACTGCATCTCCACTGTTTGTCGCGGAATGGAGGGATCTTCAGCACCACTCGGCTGGTCATGCCCTTGACTATCATGGCTTGAATTCTGTGTAGGTAGGCTAACGGTAACGACAACATCATATCTGGGTCCCATAGGCGATCCGTATGCGTTGGCCAAGTGTACAGTTCCCCGCGGGACGAGCCAGCGATCTAGAGGCTTCTCTTGAAACTCGATGACCAGGTCAAACGGACGGATAATAGGTGCTGGTGCTGCCTGCGTGGAGAGCTCCTGGGTAGGTGAGGGCGTTGGCTCGCCATGTCCATGATGGAGACCCAACTTTTCGTTCAAAGACTGGACAAAGGCTTTGAGAGTAGATCGCTGCTCTTCTGTTAGCTGACCCTTTTCCGCGAGTTGGAGAAGGGTGTGCAAAGCAGGATCCGTAGACGCAGCTTGTGTAATTTGTTCCAGCAATGCAGGGGTGATAAATTCACCAACCCGAGCTTGCGTATTTACGCTCTCCGGCTGACTGGTCACTACCGGATGAGTGGATTGTGATGGCTGAGTAGCTGAAGGATGAGAGGGCTGAGCCATGTGAACTTGTGTCCTATTGCTTTGTGATTCAGCATATGCGTGAGATGTTATGGTTCCGACGGCGGGTTGCGGCAGGTAATGTATCTCGTATAGAGCAGTGTTCGAGAACACGTGTGGTCCAATGCATACCTCAAACCTCGTATGCGACTTGACGGAGTGAGGCAGTGGTTTCACTTCTGGCTGCTTGCTACCGCGGGCTCTACCCGAGAATTTTGGGAACGCAGAAGTAAGCCATTTCTCGCGAGCTGAGTGAGATAATCATCTTAAGTGAGATCTCCACATATTTTACAGCTTAATGCATCATTCACATTGTCTCAACGACTGCAAAATAACAAGACTAGAAGAGAAATTTCAACGCATGCACAGGAATCAAATGAGACGAAAGCAGACCTATTAGGTATGCTATGCCACTCGGTATCCACGGAGTTCATCTCTTCATCTTCCTGTTCCCATCCCGGCTGTAGTCCTACTGGTAGGTAAAGTGCGCGTGTGGATGCCGCCATTGCACGCGTTGAGTGTCGCAGAAATGGCAGTGGCGGAACTGGAGAACTTGGTTGGCGGCGTTTCTCAGCGCTTCTCCTAATGAGAGACATCCTCTGAAATTAGACGCTCTTGACTCTTAGAGAACAAGTCATCCGACATCTCTGCACTCTCCTTACCCTCTATCGTAGGATACAGCGTCGGGGAAGATGTCGACGCGGGTTCGTGAGTGCGTTGATTTCTCTCTCTGACTGAAAAGTCTAATACTATGGACGGCTCGCAGAAAAAGGAAATACGGTTTTTCGACCAATAACCAAGGCCAGAGCACGGCTGGGTAGCGAAGCCCGCCAGACATCCCTCACACCTGATGCACGCTCTTCTGTTGATCCTACAATGTCTCCGGCGAGTACCTCAATGCCACCGCCTGCGCTCCCCTATCGCCCCTCTGCACAGGTGTTCTCGCCTCAAGACCATTTCTCGAACGATGCCCCCGGAAGCACGGATGCTTCCCCTCTCCCCTTCAATGTCCCAAGGGAGCCTCTGCTACACGCTGCTTCATCTATAGCTGTGCCCTCGCGAAACACCGTTCGTTCCCCTGCTATACAATCATTCACCTCGACTTCCCGTGTATCTACCCCTGTACCTCCTCGGATACAATCAGGTACCTCCAGACAAGGAGCCATCTCGACTGCTACTCCCATTGGTACGCCATCACGCTACCCGACTTCAATTTTTACTCCAGCAAGAGCCATCCCCAATGTGGGCTCTGGCCGTACTGGAGAAACTCAGCCCGCCGTGCATCCATCTGCGCCAGCCCCTATTGCTCCTGCTTTAGCTGCACACAGCGCTATCAGTGACGCACAGATAGACCCTGCACTATTGGAGGCGGTCGTTACAGCCCTTCAACACGTGAACGATGCCGAACAACAGCACCCTTCCGCGCTTTCCAGACCGGGCATACATGGAGAAGCCTCTGAGAGTACAGCGCAGTCCATACCCGCGATGCGCAGCCATAGCACGCCCAATGAGCTTACGGGGGAAGAGGCCGGTACGTCTGAGGCGGGTCAAGGCTCTGTGCGTCCCAGAAGAGCTTCCCGTCGGTCTTCCCGACAAGATGAAGACCAAGGGGAAGAGGTACCAGGAGATGAGGACCATCCATCTTCCGATCTGAGGAAGCGGAGGAAGCGACTTTCAACGTCCTCTACTACTCCGCGAAAACGACGCTCTCGTGCGCCATCTGTCCCTCCATACGATCCCGGTGCGGACCCAGGGGAAGAGCTTGACCCTACAGCTGTGACTATGGCGGAGCTCTGTGACGATACGGGTCGCGGTCGCGTAAGCACCAAGGCCATGCAGATTATGACGAGTCATGCCGCTTGGAGGACCTCCAATCGAGAGAAGAGGGCGCGAATGAGGTCTATCATGGAGGCTAAGAAGTACGGGCGGAACGCGGAAGACGAAGAAAACGTGCAAAGCCAGCAAAATAACTCTGCGGAACCTACAGCTGACGTAGAAGAGAGCTCAAATCAGCCTATCGCAGGGCCATCAGCCTCCCGCCCACAGTCTGTCGAAGCTGAGGCTGCGGACGAGGGTGATAAGGGCGATGATTACGATTACACGCAGGCCATGTCTACCAGTCGATATAACGTCCAAGTACGAATTGGACCGAATGGCGAAACAATCATCGACGAGGCATCACTGCTTGTTGATCGACAGGAAGAGGATGACACCGCAAACTACACTCATGTTGAGGAGTCGGACACTAGCAAGTTTGTGAACTCCATGAGTTATAGTAAAAAGCTTCGTGGATCTCGATGGAGTGCAGAAGAAACAGAGCTGTTTTTCGACGTATGTGCTTTCTTCGACTCTATTTCATCCTGGAAACTGAAATGAGTTACCAGGCTTTATCCCAGTTCGGCGAGAATTACGAACTTATTTCGTATGTTTTGCCTGGCCGTGATCGCAAGGCTTGCAAGAACAAGTTCAAGGCCGAAGACAAACGCAATCCAAATAGGATTACATACTGTCTAAACCATCGCAGGCCATATGGTGAGTTACGAAATATCCCCAGAAATACTCGGTTGCGCTAACCGGGTACGTGTTGCAGATCTGCAAACACTTGCTCGCATGACTGGCAAAGACTTCTCAGGTCCAACGCCAGAGATTCGTGCGCCCCCACCTCTACGTCTGCCGCATGTCAGCGAAGCACAGGCAGAAGATGACTCAGAGGAGTCGGTGAAACTGAGGAAGCACAGTGCTACACCAGGCTTGGGTGCGGAAGAGATACTGGAAGACCCAGAGGAGGTGATTGAGCCAGGCTCATAGTTATTTGTTAGTGTCTTCACAATACTACGAGATCTCGAATGTGTACGACACATTGTTCGGGAATAAATTACAAACATCGCCGGGATAGCTCAGCTGGGAGAGCAACAGACTGAAGCGTCCGATCTGGCCTGACTTCTGGAGGTCGCGTGTTCAATCCACGCTCCTGGCATTTTTTTGACAATTCTTTGTGTAATGTTCTTTTTGTTATTTGTACCCTTGTATTTTAAAACAGAAGCCAATATCTGGAGCCAACAAACTCATTTTAATTGCAACATGTTGCTTGTACACAGTATGCTTATGATTGTCCTTGTTACAAAACCACATTGCTACATGCAAATTTTCACTTTCCTCTACAGTTTCCATACTCGTAATGTCCTCCGGTTCATGATCCATGTCTCCATCCTTACTCTCTGCTTGATCTTCTTCAATGTCAGCAGCAATCTCAAGTGCTTGAATTATCTGGAATTGATTATTCAAAGTGCTTGCCAAGGTGTCATCGATTTTCTGTCTGCAATGAAAAGCCTTAATGTGCTGCTTCACTTTCGACAAGCACAGCTAAACAACAATACAGAAGGGGCAGCATTGTCGTCTATGGAATGCATGCTTATATGTGCTGAGGGTTATGTCATTGCACTGTTGGGTTGGTTTCAGTGGCAGATGGGCAGTCAACTTGAATGGCTCACCAAATGAAATTGATCCAAGCCTGCATAATCAAGTTCTGATCAGCAGATTCACCACTAATGTTGTCACAGATAATGGTGCCTGCTTCTACATCAGCATCAAATGAGTTCAAAACCTTAGTATTGATTCCATCCATATCCATCAGAGGTATCACAGCAAGTTCTCAGAGTTTTTGCAGGATTATCGAGGGGGCTTTCTGTCACGGTTATACATGTAGTGCCCAATTTATTCGATTTCCTTTCTTTATTTTGGCACATCTTACATGTCTTCGCGATCACGTGACTCGTCGACACGGTCTCATGACCTGCACGATCACATGACATGCACATGCACGCGCACTCGCGCTCTTCGCTTGGCCCGGACTGATAGCGACATCACCAGCCCTGCAAACTCCACACGGCTTCCAGATCCTTCCGGGACCTCGGACTCTTCTCTTCTCCGATCCATCGGACTCTCGGTCCATCGGTCTATGACTCAGGCTCGGCACTTAGTAATTACGCCCAGAGTGGCACCATTTCTATTGTCCCCCCGGTCTATTGTCTCCGTTCCTTTATTGTTCTCTTCCCTTTGTCTCTTTCTATTGTCGCGTCACACTATTGTTCTATTGTCTCGTCTGCCCTACCCTAAAGTGGCCCGTGCGCAGACTCCAGTAGTATATATACCTGACCTTCATCGCTCCTAGCCCTCATCTTGACCTTTTGGTCTTTACTGGGCTAGGTAAGCCGTTAGTTACCTTGTATTGTATTTCTTTTTACTAATATGATTTGGTCTTTACTGGGCTAGCGTTGCACACAGCTTGTTAGCTGTTTTCCTTGAATAAAGGATTACACCCTTAGGTGTCTTGAGTTCTAGAGCGATCCCTTTTAGTCACGTGACTCAGTCTCCGTAACAATTTGGTCTTCATTGGGCTAGACTTGTGCACAGTTCGCTAGCGGTTTACTCTTGAATAAAGAGTCTACACCTTCAGGTGTCTCGAGATAAAAGTTGATCTCTATACGTCACGTGACTCAGTCTCCATGACAAACATGAGAGCTGTTCTGATGTCCTTCATTTGATTCCACAGCTCTTTCACACTCAATGAGAGGGCTCGAGCTTCTACTGCAATTATCTTTAATTCAAATTTGCCAATGTCTTGCTTGAGCAGTTTATTAATATGAGCAGTGATGACAAATAAGCAACACATTGACATGAACTTACCAAAAGAGAGCTGATGAGTCACGTTCATCCAATAGAGCAACAGTGGTTGCTGTACCCAAAATTTGCAAGTCTGTCAAGTTCTGTCTATGCAGACCTTGATTGTATACAAAGCTCAAAGTATTTGTGTTTGCATCATATTTGAGCAGATCATGAGCACAATAAATTCTCAAAACTTCTACTGTTATTGTTGCAAGACCTCAATGGAAGCAGTATGGAGTATTGTTTTTTTCAGAACCTGCATCACTACAATCAGCATTGCACAAATTCAAACAGCTTAAATCATATACCTCCAAGTCCAAGAATGAGACATAACTTGTGCAGAAGAGCACAAATGGCATTAGTACAAAGGAGTTTATCAGCATCCAGCTCAACACCAGCTGGTCGATCTACTTGTAAATGTGGCTTAGGAAGCCTATCAGGATGCCACACTAATTGGATCTTTGTTCCTTGAAGAACACTTTTCTAGGTTGCATGATTAGCTAGGTCTTCATGTTGAAGAGCAAGGGCAATTATAATGCTTTCAGGATTCAGTATGAGGTTGGCTTCAATGTTTACTGACATCAAAGTATAGTTTTGGCTTTTGAGGACATATATTAAACTTTAGTAATTTTCAACTTGCAGCATATATATTTATAGCTTAATGGGAAGAACAGATCCTGATGTCCTTTAAAGTGGTGTATTGTAATTCAAACAGCAAAACAGCTGTATGTGGGCAGACAGATAATTGCAACATTCTATGAGAATGGCAATATGTTCAGTGAATCATTGAAACCCATCGAATTTCACTTGTTGCAAACTGCAGAAAGCATTGGAGATAGATTTTACTAGATGCAATAGATTCTGGTTGCACATCTGTACAGAACAGAATCATCCATAACAAAGAAGTTTATAATGCCTGGGTTTATTTGTCACATCTATAAATAGACAAAGACCAGATATAGTATACAGTGCTTGTTAAGATAAAGCTAGGATTGTGAATAAGTGCTGCTTCACATAGCATATGTGCTTTGTCACGGAGACTGAGGTCACGTGACGTATAGGGATCAACTCCTATCTCAAGACACCGTAAGGTGTAGACTCTTTATTCAAGAGTGAACAGCTAGCGAACTGTACGCAAGTCTAGCCCAGTGAAGACCAAATACATTAGTAAAGTAGTTACAATACAAACAAGGATAGCTAAAGGCTTACCTAGCCCAGTGAAGACCAAAAGGTCGAGATGAGGGCTAGGAGCGAAGGAGGCCGGGTATTTATACTACTGGAGGCTGCGCACGGACCACTTTAGGGTAGGACAATAAAGATAATAGAACGTGGCAGCAGGACAATAGGACAATAGCGCGGCGCGACAATAGAAGCGGAGACAATAGAAAGAACAATGACTAGAGAGACAATAGGAATGGTGCCACTACGGGCGTAATTACTAAGGCCGAGTCTGAGTCATAGACCGATGGACCGGGAGTCCGAAGGGTCAGGGAAGAGAAGAGTCCGAGGTTTCCGGAAGGATCCGGAAGCCGTGCGGAGTTGCGGGGCCGGTGATGTCGTTATCAGTCCGGGCCGAGCGAGGAGCGCAGGTGCGCATGCATGTGCAAGTCATGTGATTGTGTGGGTCATGAGACCGCGTCGACGAGTCACGTGATCGCGAGGACGTGTAGGACGCGCCAAAATAAAAGAAAGAAAATTGAATAAATTGGGCGCCACGCGTATAACCATGACATGCTTCACCCTTATGAAACACTCTTTTGATTTTGTTTACACTGTGAAGCTCAAATGTTTTGGCTAAAAAATGTGCATGCTAGAAATCTCTTCAGTGTTTGAATAATAGACAAAATAAATTAAGGCTATTCATCTGAATCACTTGTTCAGCTAATTGATTGCGCAGGGTGATATTTGCTTATAGCTCCGGACTATTGGGAATATATTATGAACCATACATCTTCTCATAAGACAATGATACAACTTACGCAGTCAAAAATATCCATTGCTAAAGTATATAAAGATGATGTGGTCATTAGCTCAGTGCAATTGTCCAGTTGCAATTGAAAGTTTTGCATGTTGAGAGTGAGAAATCCCGTGATTTTGTCTATTACCCCAAACCTGAGTATTATGCTGAATATCAAATGATGAAGTGTACAATATCTGCAAAAACCCTTTGTTCAAATTCTTTTATTAATATACTTCTTGATCCACTTACCATGAGTGATATAGATTTTGAAGCAAGCAATAGTATAATCATGTTGTTTCAATGTAGAGCTAGCTTGTTTGCTATGATTGCTGCTGAGCTCATTGAGCTCACTTTGAAGGGTTTGCAGTTCTTCATCTGCTGCTCCCTGTATAGGATTTGCCTTTAGCTCGATATGATTCTGTCGTTTTCTCTTGTTTAAGATGTCTTCATTCATCTCAGGGAGCTTATAGATTGACCAAGGCTTTCCAGAGGCTAAGGCTATGATGAGAGTGATTAAAATGTAAGAGCGCAGTGCAAAGAAGGAGTGGGCACAGATAAATATCAAGGTCAATGACCTATTGATATAAAGTTTGATGTGATGTTCACAGCATGCATACATCCACAAAATGTTTTTTTTGTGTTTGTAGCAAGCAGCTATGATCTCAATGAATAGATATTGGAAAGCTATGATAAATAACATTGTAAGTATAACTTTACTCTAGACATAGCTATCAGAATACTGATTTACAATCTATAATGAAGAATATGCAGACAATGAGTTCACACACATACTTAACAAGGATTCACAAAAAGAATCAGATGTCATCATTGGAACCAAGGGAAAAATTAGAGGTTACTTCAAAGAGAGAAGCAAGTACAAGGTCAGGCATGAAGGATGCAACTGTCAAGTTGGGCATAGACAGATTGGCAGCATGACAGAGAGTCTTCAAAGACTGGCTGAGATCTATGTGAGTAATGTCTAGAAGATCAGGAATAGTGCTCTGGAAATATTGCCAAGGATTAGTAGTGGCAGGCTGATTAGAATACATATGGCTCCATTCAATCAAGCTTATTGTTGCTATATGAGAAAAATGAAGTGTATGCACTTGATGAGCTATTTGAGTATTACTGATGTGAACCAAAAGAACTGCATGAGCAAGGTTATCAACAGTTGGGGCAGCTGGGACAACTGAAGTCAGAGAGGTTAAGGTAGAAGCAGTAGTAGTAGCAGTAGCTTTTCCTTTTCCTTTAGTATTAGATGCTATAATGATTGAGCTGAACAACAAAAATGTACAGAATAAAACAGATGAGATACAGAAATATTTGAGCATTTCCAAAAATATTGATGTGCC